GGGGGCAGGAGACCCTCCTCCTTCCCTCTTCACCGCAGGGACCTCCCTGCATGGCCACCCCAACTGTTTTCTCTCCACAGACTCCCCTACCATTAACACGAAAGCGGGGTGGGGTGGGCCATTCCCGCCCCTGTCTTGCTTCTGGGTGGGTGCCTCACCCTCTCCTTTCTTTCATCAGAATTCTCGGAAGGGAAGCCCACGCCCAGGCCCTCTGCTAAGGTTCTCACAGGCAGATAGGACACCAGCGTCCTCGGGCCTGTGTTCAGGCAGAGACTGCGCTTGCGGCAGATGCCCCGTTCAACCTGCTCGAATTAGCTAATTAGCCTGAGTAATTTTTAAAAGTTCAGCCAACTAGTTGAACCTTCCAGATTCCTTGCCTTGCAAACTCATCCATCAAATTGCAACTTCATTTTAAGGACCCATTTACAGACTCTCAAGAGATAATGAAAATCGTTCTGTTTATTAAACAATTAAAATTTAAAACATTTGGTTATTTAAATTGTCGGTATTTCACCCAAGTCATTAGAAGCAGCTATTCACCTCAAGCGGAATAATTAACTTTTCAATCATCATGTTGGTTATAACCGTAATACTCATATATCTAATATACTTTCTGAAATTAGGGAAATAAAGGATTGGCTTTTATTAGTATACTAAATTGCAATGCACTGGGAAGGATAATTGATATTGGTAAAAAGTATAAATAATTCAGTATCATTAAAACAATTATATTTTACACTTACAAATAGCATGAATTATTTGAAAAATTATTAAAATTAGAATCATGTCCCTTTTTTCAGCAAGTTAGATATGAACTGGGCACAGATCACGGCTGAGCCTCAGAGTCTGGGACAACCTCCTTCTGGTTTGCATCCTGGGCCTGAGACCAGCTCTCCTGTCCGCGTGTACTTGCTGATTCTAGAACACCTGCCACACAGTGGGCTCCCCGACAGGACTGGGCCTTCCCAGAGGGCAGGCTACTGTGGCTCACCTCTGTACCCCTCGTGCTTGGGAAAGTTGTCCAGCAGCCAGCAGGTGAGGGAGTTCACAAACACACCGCGAGAATGTCAGGAGTATGTGCTAATTTTAAAACACCATAGCATCACCTCATTTCACTTCCCCACAACTTTATGATAGAAAGTGGACACCCCCTGGAAAGGAATGCAAACTGAGGTCCAGGGGAGGGAAATCTCACTGCCAGTGATTCTGAAGCCACGGTTTCACAGGCATCCATCTAGCAATCCTGTCCCTTCCTCCTCTTTCACCTGCCTCCCCTTGACAGTTTAAGCCAGTTCTCAGCTATTCATGCTCAGGGATTAATGAACTCATTACCATTTGCTGTGAACAAACCTTTGTCAATGTGTTACTTCCTAACAATCTCCATTCACTAAAGAACCAGTGATCCAGTCATCTATTTTTGGGCATTTGGGTTGCTTCCAGGTTTTCCCTATTGTAAATAGTGCTGCAATAAACATAGGGGTACAGGTGTTCTTTTCAATCACTGTTTTTGTGTCCTTTGGGTAGATCCCTAGGAGTGGAATCGCCAGGTCGTATGGTAGCTCCATTTTTAGTAGACTGAGGAACCTCCAGACAGCTTTCCACAGTGGCTGGACCAGTCTGCACTCCCACCAACAGTGCAGGAGCATTCCTTTTTCACCACATCCTCGCCAACATTTGTTGTTGCTGGGTTTTTTGATTTGTGCCATTCTCACTGGTGTAAGGTGGTATCTCAGTGTGGTTTTGATTTGCATTTCCCTGATTATAAGGGATGTTGAACATTTTTTCATATACCTGTTGGCCATTTGCATTACACAATGGAATGTTATTCAGCAATCAAGAAAGATAAACTCATGTCATTCGTGGCAACATGGATGGAGCTAGAAGGAATGATGCTCAGTGAAATAAGCCAGAAGGAAAAAGAAAAATATCGGATGGTTTCACTTATAGCAGGAATATAGGGGAACCCAATAAGACATCAGTGTAAAAAAAAGTAATAACAGCACAAAACACAACAAAGCAAAAACAGATAATTACAAATCAGAGACATCCTGCAGGGGAGGAGGAGGGAGAGGGATCAGAGGGAGGGAGGGAGGAGCACAGGGGACTGAGGTGATGGTGCCCAGGTGCCTTGGGGAAGGAAACTCTGTGGGGACTCCACCTGAGGGGGTGGGGGGAAGCAAATATTGTTTAAAAAAAGAAAAAATTTAAAAAAAAAAAAGAAAGAAAAAAAAACCAAAAAAGAAAGGAAAAAACAAAAAAGAAAGAAAAAAAAAAGAAACCAGTGATCCAGCTCTGCAGATGCCCAGTACTGGGGAGGGCCCCTGGGACACAGATCTGGTGCCATCGACCCCGCATCCAGGGCTCACAGACTCGGGGGAGAAACGTGGACACCGATAAAGAGGAATATTGGCCATGGGAACACGGGTGGCTGCACCAGGACCGAGGCCACGGGGGAAGCGGGGGCTGCCGCCCCGAGTTAGCACTGCTGACGGCGCCTGTGGACGTGTCTGGGGCCGCACCGGCCAGATGCCGCTGCCGCCAGCCTGACTCAGGCCTCTGGGGAAAGGACTCCTTGGTCCTCACCCCTTCAGGCCAGAGCAGGCAGCGCTAAGCCAGCAGGTAAGACAACATGACCCTCCTCCGATGCCTTTGCAGGGCCCCGGAAGGATAAATGCACTCGGAATACATTAATGCCCTGAAAAAAAACACCCAACTCTTTACAAAGGAACTCTATCCCTTGTCTTTCTTCTCAGCTGCCCCGCGTGCTCGGCTCAGCCAAAGAAAGAACGTTCTATAGCAATTGCTTGTTCACCCAGAACCCTCTTGTGTTTCTGGGTGAGGTGGAGGGCGAGCGTGACTCCCCTCCTGCTCTTTCCAGCTAGCGCTGAGCCAGCTCCCGGGGTGCAGTGGTGGGGGGGGGACGGCGGGGAGGGGGCAGCAGGTGCATAACCAGACCCCAGGGCCCTCCCTGTGGATCACCCGAAATTGGCCTTTCTTTCAAGTCTCGATTATTTTCCAAAATGCTTCCCTCTCAGACACTAAACAGTGAAACAATGCTGGGGAGTCACTGGTGAGAGCACCGGGCAGGCGACGCACGAGCTGCACAAATGCAGTCAGATGCTGCCGGGGCGCACGCCGGCTCTGGAAACCTGCTTGGAGGAAATAATTCAAGGGGATGACAAAGCATGAAATGCTGCTGAAATATGATATGAGAAAGTAGGAAACTAGGGGCCGAGTCAATCATAGGCTATGAAAACTGCCCGTCGTGAAGTGGGGTCACAGCATGAGGAATGCTGGGACTTTTTAACATGGAATGTGATTTCAAATGTGCAAAAAATGACATTTGCCTAAGGACAGTGGACTCACAGGTAATATTTGAAAACATAGTTGGGTGTTAACACATCGTCTTGACAGTGAAACAAAAAGGCTCGGGGTGAGGGCGGAGATCACTAGAGGGGGTTTGTCAGAGGGGGAGCCCATCAGAGAGGGAGACCGTCAGAGGCCCTTTCAGGGTCAGTGACAAGGGGTTTAATGTGAGCACAGAAGCCACAATCACGTCTCTTGCCCCAGTTTACTTATTAATGTTGGCCTTTCCTGAATTAAAATAAATCTGACCAGCAAATGATGGGCAGATTTTTCATGAGTGCCAGCAGGTAATGAGTAAATGCTGAAAGGCACCAAGTGTGGGAAAGTAAGAGCGCAGGACAGACGGGGAGCACAGGTGCGTACAGATGGGCAGCGCAGGCAGGGCCACTCTCCAGCCCCGTGATCTGGCTCCTGACCCATGTGGGGTGTCTGCGCTTCCAGGCCCTCAGCACAGATAATGTCAGAGGAACTTGTGAAACGTCAATATAAATTCAGAAAGCACCCGAGATGCTGTGGACCCAAAGAGGCCTGGCCCCATTGTCTGCACACCTGGAACCCCACGGAACCACCCCGCAGATGAAGCCCTGCCTGGTCCCCACAATCAGCCCTGGGTGGGGGGGGAGACATTTTGTGGCGGGTGTTTTTTGTTTGTTTTTTTTTGCTTTTTTTTTGTTTATTTTAGTAAAATATACATAGCATAGAATTTATCATCTTAAGCATTTTTGAGCATGCAATTCAGTGGCACTGAGTACACACACTGCTGTGTCACCACCTCTGTCCATCATCCCAGACTGGAAAGCCAAACCCATTTGACCCTAACCCTCCACATCGCCCCCTCCCCCCCGTGCCAACAGCCACCTTCCACCTTCCACTGCTTTCTCCCTATGAACTGGACAACTCTAGGCACCTCACAGAAGGGCCTTTTAGCGTTTGCCCTTTGAGGCTGGCTTACTGCGCTCAGCATGATGCCCTCACGGTTTGCCCATGGTGTACCAGGTGTCAGACTTCCCTCCTTTTTCAGGCTGAATAATATTCCACTGTACGTATATGCCACGGGATAGAGAGATTTCAGGGGCTGCAGCCTCCTCTCTGGGAGTTACTACCAGGCCTTCTTGTTACTGACCCAGCCTGACTCCAAGTTCCATTTCAAGAAGGGACTTCCTTCTCAGGCCTCATATCAGCTCCTTCTCACATCTACCTCTTCTCTTCATTACTTGGTCTTTTACTGGCGAGCTGCCTGAGCCTTCAGTCCTTCCTTCTACTTCTACCCACGGACAACAACTGGGCCTGTTACCTGATGTCCACTGCCTGGGGTGCGTCTACTGCACCAGTCAGGGCATCAGTAACGTGAATCCAAGATGGCAGCCACCTGTCTCAACTGCATTGTTTGTGCCCCGCTTAACCTGCCCATGGCTCCCTCTCTCTGATCCTGCAGCGTGGAGGGCGCAGCTCCACCAGACACACCTTCCCCCAGGGCTCTTGTCTGCAGCAGCCCAGCCTCCTGCCCATGCTCCTGTTCTCTTTCCTTCCACTGCCCATCACCAGTTACCTCCTGCAACCAGCCTGTCTCTGGCCCCTAGAACATAAGACCCGAAACATGGAGTCCAGCAAAGCACAGGCCCAACCACACTTACAGCCAGAGCGAGTTCCTTCCTTGAGTGATGACCCCAGTGAACTTGGTGAGACGTCTGGCATCCACTTCAATCCACTGATGGAGGTCGTTCCTCCCTGCGCACCACGCCCCGTCATAAAAATCATTTTCATTAATACCCGCCTGGAAAGAAAAAGAGGGGTATTCTTCAGAGAGGCTCGAATGGAGACAATTAAGGCCCACTCTTCATGACACCGAGAGAAAGGGAGGAGGGATAAAAGACAATGAAGGAGATAAAGAAAAACTCCACTGTGCCCTGAACTCCCTCTTCCAAGCCATAAAGAGGAGCTGCTTATTATTCACAAGTTGGGAGTATTTCGGAATGCTGTGTCTTCTTCTTGCCCAGTGGGAAACAGAATTTAATGAGTTTTCCTATTACTCATTCTTCCAGCAGACAAAGACCATCTCCTACATGCCAGCCTACACACACCAGGTGCCGAGGGCACAAAGGTGAATCGTTCCCTCCTGGAACTTCACCATCCAGGCAGGAAAAAAGACATGAAAATAGAAGAATTAGAACACGGTGGGGCGTGTGCTATTTCAAGGAGAGGCGCAAACTGCTCTGGAGCATTTAAGGACAGCAGAGCTGACCTGGTTATAGGGGACACCGGAGAGAAAGACCCAAGGCAGGGGTGATATGGGGCTGGCTCTCGAAGGGTAATGAATCTGTATTTGTTAGCATTTACATCATTTGATGTGTTTGAGTATCAGCTACTACTGCTACCAAAGCCTCTCCGATCCGAATCCACAAGGTAGGTGAACTTCCTGTTCTAGAATTTCCCCTGTTTTAGCTCTAAAGAGAAAATTACCTGCTGTGCCTTCCCCCCAAAAGAGGACATTTAAACCAAGTACATCTTTCTAACTTACTGAGAATTTTTCCGCATTAATCCCATGTTCACATGGTTATTTCACAAGTACATAAATAGATCAGAAAAAAAAAAACTATCTTTGAAAGATAAAAATGATAGGCCAGCCCACCCTCCCTTCCGCTAAGCATTTTCAACTCAGATTCCGGGACAGTCGATTCATCAACATTCTGCAGAAGCTCAAGTTCTCAGCAACTCAGAATCTGCCGGCACATGGGCTGCTAGGGACCTAGAGGGGCTGTGAGGTTCCGCTTTCTAGAATCATCCAAGAAAATCTGAATTTTGCAAGTGCATATTCCTGGCCCTGAACCATGCTTCAGTGCCTTTTGTTAAGCATATCCGGTCCACCACGAGCTCAGAATAGAGGCTGCAGGGACAAAATCAACCGTTTTCTCCACCTGCAGGCAGCTGTCCTCTAAGGACAGAGACAGGCAGCACATTCACTACCCACAATATCACACCTCGACTTCTGTCACAGAAACATGACACACACCAGTGTTTGCTGAGGTTCTTCTTGTCAACAGCCCTCGAGGCTGAGGTTTGGAACAGCCCCATTCACCGCTACAGCTAACCCCACTGTGTCCCTCTCCATGCCAGGTACCGGCGGAGGGAGCAGAAATGCAGAGGGGAAATGTGCAGTCCTGCCGTCTCGCAGCGTAGAACGGGCAGGCGGACGAAGCTCGCACACGAGCTTGCATCTTGGTCTGGGCATCTTAAGATCAACCTACAAGCTGCGCCCCAATATCCTCCTTCCTGTGTATGAATCCCACCTCTGCCACTCGCACTCAGTGTAGACGCGGGCCATCGGCCCAAGTGCTCTGTGCCCCAGTCTCCCCCTCTGTTAAAGTGGGGACCATGACAACTTCTCCCTTAGGGTGTTGCTCGGACTTACAACAGGGCCTGGCACAAAGTTAGCTTGAGATTAAAAAAAAAAAAAAGGTGCCCGATAAATGCCAGTTATCAGTATATGTAGAACAATGAATACTTGGCAATTCATGGCTGTATTGGTGCTTTATGAATTATTTCACATTTGACAAAATTCTGGGGATTTATAGTTCTATATCACTTAATTGCTCTCACATTTGATATACCCTCAAATATTCAGAATATAGTTACAACACCTGAAAAAAGAGGAGACCCACTGCCTAGAGTTCTCAACAGTAGACCAGGCTGCCCCACGCCCAACCCTAGGGGATCTCTGGCCGACTCTGGAGTCACTTTCAGCTACCCCAGGGAGGAGGGGTGTGTACTTCTAGCAATGAATGGATACAGGCGAGGATGTTACTACCCATTCCACAAAGTATAGGACAGCCCCCAACACAAAGAATGACCCAACCCCAACGTGTCAATGGTGCCAAGGCTGGCATTGCCCCGTCACAAGCAGGCAAGACCAGGACTGTTGCACAGTACGGATATTTACCCCAACAGAAACATGGAAGCTTGGAGAAGCTGTCCTCACGCCAACCCGCCAAAGTCTACTGACTGGAATTTGGAATTAAATTTAAGATTCCCCGTCTGGCCAGTCTGGATATTTTGCTTCTGTTGCTAATCTCAGTTCTTCCTGAACACACTACATAGTCAATTAAATATAGAAAGGTATCAGGGGACTGAGGAGCCCTTCCTGAAATTGACTCACTAGAAACAGCAGCCACCTCTACAAAATCGGGGATGAATTTATAAAGAAAGTACCTGGGAGAATTCTGTGCTGGAGGAGGTACCAGCCGCAGAGGTGCCACCAAATTACACCACGTGCAATAAATGGAATTGTCAGGATGTCTCTGAGAAACCAGAAAAGGGTACATTCACTCCCTTCCTTTTTAATAATGTAGGAAATATTCATAAATTTTGGAGATGGTTCAATCCAAAGTTCTTAAAATAAAAGGTTTGATTCCTTAAAGTATAAGCTAGTCTCAAAAGCACCACTAATGCGGAATGATTCTCTCTCTTTCTCAAAGCAATTGTATTATATGCATCATTTCCTTACCATAAAAAAAACCAATGCATTTCATAACACATAGTTTTCTTTACAAAAATGTGGAAATATTAAATCCATAGCAAAGAGAAAACCTAATTCTACCTATTTAAAATAAATCAAATATAATTTTTCTATTTTAAGATAGAGTAAATATATGCACTTCCCTGTGTTCAATCAAAATTTCCCCCCAGGGGCCTCCCTGGTGGTGCAAGGGATAAGTCTCAGCACTATGAAGCTCTCGCAAGCCACTGCAGCACGAGTTCAATCCCCGGCCAGGGAGCAACCCACATGGCACAGTAAACCTCTCCTGTCTCACCCATTGTTCCCCTCAGCAGTGTGTTTCAATCCACCTGTTCTGTTCCCCACTCTGTCTCTGGTGAATCCTTTCTCTCTCTCTCTCTCTCTCTCTCTCTCTCTCTCTCTCTCTCTCTCTCTCACACACACACACACACACACACACACACACACACCTTTGGCCTGTACCCGTGTTCTTGTTTGCGTAAATAAATAAATCTTTAAAAAAAACCCCCCAAACAAGGAAAATGTGTTTCAGAAATACAACCTTCATCTCTGATAAGACCAAAAGATAGTTATAATCCCTAAATGATAACTTATAGAGCCAGAAATCAGATGAAGGGGCCTGAGATGACTCAGCAAGAGAATGAAGCCCAAACTCACAAGTGGCACTTCGATGAAAAACAAGACACATGGACTCTAAAAATGCTCAGAAACTAGATTCTTAGAAATCTTGGAAGATGAAAGTGAGGCAGGAATAAAACAGGGAATTGATTCAAAATGTAGATTTAAAACAAATAGGTTCCTATGTTCCCATTCCTAATCCACAGAAGACACAAAATTTTTATTTTAAAAAACAACCATAGAGACTCCTGATTTGGAGACCTCATACATAAAGGAGGGCATGTGATGTGACGGGTCAAAACAAGGAGCTCAGTGGCTAGCAACCTAATGAGGAGTGACATGGGCACCCTCCTCCTCCATGCGACTCTGGGACACAATGCAGTCAGGCCTAGAACAACAACAAAGAAAAAAAACAAAAACCCTGAAAACATAATGTAGAAGAGGAAAAATCCTCAAAGAAATTGTGATTAATAGCCTTTGAAAGGGAATTTGCTTACATGAAACAAGAATAGGATATTTTGAAAAAGGAAAAGGTACTGCATAAAAAATATCTTTTAGACTAACAATATGAAAGCAAAAATGGTTAAAACAACAGAAGGGTTTGAAAGCACAAACTAAAGAAGTCTCACAAAAAGTAAACAACACACAAAAACAGATGAGAAAAAAAGCTGAGGAAGAAATCCAGATTTTAAGGGGAAGAAATTATCAAAAAATACTATAAAATTATGTCCCATATCTGAAAGAACTAAGTCTCTGAAACACCAAGAACCTAGTACGATGAATAAAGCAAAACCCATGCCAAGACATATCAAACTTCAAAGCATCAGAAATAAAGAGAAGATTCTAAAAAGAGAAAACAAATATGGAAAAACAAAGAAAAAGGAATATGATACCAGAATTCTCAATAGCTAGAAGAATGGAGGGAGAAAAATTCCTTCAAAGTTATATGAAAATAAAAGATTTTTCATCTTAGAATTTCACAATCTAACTATCAATCAGTAGTGATGGTAAAATAAATATATTTTCAGATTCACAGACCCTGAATAAAAATTATTTTTCATGTACCACTTCCATGATGTTACTACAGGCTGTGCTCCACAAAAACAAGGCAGAATACCAAAAAGAGGAAAATATAAGATACAGAAGCAAAGGATTCCAATACAGGAGAGAATTTTCAGAATGAAAATGGCCCATGGAGAAAGTTCCAAGAAGGAAGCTATGTGAAAGACACAGAAAACCACCATTCATAATATGGCAGGTGAAAGGGCCTCAAAGGGAAATCTACAGAAATATACAAACAGAAGTGAGAACAGAGATTGTTGAACAGGTTTGATCTTATAGAAAACTATATTGCAGGGAATTTTAAAGACTTATACCTAATGCACAGTGTGGAAAAATGTTTTTTAAAATATAAGTAGATCTAGGAAGACAAAAAGTTGTCACAAAGTGATGCATAATGAATACTTCTTGGTTAAGTAGTTCACAATGTTACCCAGGCATAATAGTGAAAACCTTGAATATAGATTTACCCAACAGTTCAGATACAATTTTATTGGAAGGATTAAAGAGGAGTGAAGGTGTCACAAAAATGAGCTGAAATTCTCATCTTCCATAATAAAATTCAAAAGAGAAAGTCAGAAGTT